TTTTTTTACAAATGTTTAAATATGTATTTAAATTATATATATATGTTATTTAATATTTAATTATTTCTTTAATTATTTTACTATCACTTATTTTGATATTTTAATTGCTTATTTTAAATTTTTTTTCTAACAGTTAATTTACTTATTTATTTTTAATGAAGTTTTAAAACTTATTTTAATTATTTACAAATGTTTAATTATGTATTTAAATTCTTTATATATATCTTATTTAATATTTCATTTTTTAAAATTAATTTAATAACACTTATTTTTAAATGCTTATTTTAATATTTTAATTATTTTTCTAACACTTAATTTAGTTTTTTAATTTTAATGAATGTTTAAATACTAATTTTAATTCTTTAAGCATAATGCTTATTTCATATTTACAAATTTATTTTAATTGCTTTTCAAAAAATTAATTTTTTTGCTAATTTACTTTTCAAATTTAATTGCTTATTTTTATTATTTTACAAATGTTTAAATATTTTTTTAAATTCTTTAGATATATTAATTATTTAATATTATATTATTTCTTTTAATTTTTTTACTATTACTTAATATAAAATAATTAATTAATCTAAATTAGCAACTAATAAATATTTCGATAAATAATATAACATTTACATCTTATATTTACTAATAATTTTAAATACATAATAAACATTCAAATTAAGCAATTCAAATAAATAATTACATAAGAGAACACAATATAAGCCATTAATAATTATTTAATTAACTTCAATAATTACCGAAAAAAAAAGGAAAAAAAAAAACCCAAGGCTTAACCGACGGCCCAGCTTTCCAGTTGATTGGGCGCCCAGTCAACTGGGTAGGTGCCCAGTTAACTGGGCACCCAGTCAATTGGGTTGCCCAGTTGACTGGGACAGGGCGCCCAGACGGCGTGCCCAGTCGCTCAGCCTTGCCATCCAGACTATTTTCGGCCGAGGAGATCGTCGGAAAATTCCATTTTCGGCGATCTCCACTCCTTCCCAAGCAATAACAACCCAAAATTCCACATTTACACAAGGATTTCTCAACAAATATGTATAAAATCATACTTTTTTCCAAAAATAAAAATAAAAATATGGTTTTTTTTTTTGTATAAATTTCTTACCTTCTTCAGAGGGAAATGGCCAAGTGGGTCTCCTGTTTTTCCTTATTTGTCGGTGACTGGGTTGACTGTGCTACAGTATTTTCCCGTCTCGGCTTCGGCTTCGGCTTCTTCTTCAAGTGAGGGTAAAATTGGGTTTGTCTTCATTTTTTTTTGTTTTCACTGTTTTTAATAATTTTGCCTTTTTTTTTTCATTGGTCAAAGGCCATTTTGGAAAACTGGCCGTGTACAGCCACGGTTCCAGGGGGAGTTTCATTCCTATTTTTTCGAAAATACTTTTTTTTTTAATTTTCTTTTGAATCGCATATTCTTCATTAAATCCTCGTTTGATAGCAATTTTTATCCAAAAAATCAATTTTTTGACCATTATTTTACTATTCCAACCTTTTTTGACTTCTTCATTCACAAGTAGAATCTATTTTCTCTCTATAATGGTCAAAAAATCAATTCTCATAATCATTATCGAACAAGTTCTAAAATAATATTACATACAAATAAAAAAAATTCATTCTTTTTAACCATGCATTTTCACTCAATTTACTATTTCAAAAGGATAATGCTGAGCATACATTGGGTATCACATAACAATGTCCATAATGGTGAGCTGGCAGATTTTGAATCCAATTTCTCGTGACTTTGAGATACTGTTGTATATTTCCAAAACTGCCCTTCATCAATTACAAAAACAACCCCTTCACATATTATACAGGTTCTGCCGGGTTTCATTTGAAACGCTCAAGAGACGAAGTGGATCGGACTCCTCCAACAAATCAAATCTGTACTTCACCACAAATCTGACTACCTGGGGGGAAAATGCGAAGTGGAGTACTAACATTTTCGTGAGAGGCGAGCGATTCATGTGTAGAACATTTTTGTGAAGGTAACGAGTGGAACCCAGATCTGAAGCTCAGCTTTCTGTCATCTAAATCTTCGACGTCGAGCTCAGCTTGACTAAAAAAAATGTGAAGTGGAGTACGACATTTTCGTTTGGGGCGAGCGATTCATGTGGAGAACATTTTTGTGAAGGAAACGACCGGAATCCAGACCTCAAGCTCAGCTTTCTGTCATCTAAATCTTCGACGTCGAGCTTAGGGTAAGGGTTTGATTTTAGAGGAAGTTGAAGCTCAGTTTTCTTTCAACGAACATATTCTGTCGCGGACAGAAAATTAATTTTTTTCCCCTTCTTTGCTCGATTTTGAAAGGAACTCAATAGGTAAATTGCTTTGAATATATAGTATATTCAGCTCAAACAGAACAACCTTTCAGCGAGTACAACAAATCTTGTAACTGCTGTGTTGGGTTAAATTTGTGTAGGACAGGTAACCAACTAATATTGAGGGTTTTTTTCTTTGGTTTATCAGCAGACTTGTGTGAACTAGAATTTGAGAAATTTTCGGAATTGGGAGTGTATTACAGTGTGTGTATCTTGAATACTGGATTGCAATGTTGTTTTACAATGTGTATTTTGAATTGGGAGCATTACAATGTGCATATTTTACATTTCGAATTTCACAGTGTGTATTTTGAATTGGGAGCATTACAATGTGCGTATTTTACATTTCGAATTTTACAGTGTGTATTTTGAATTGTGACTATGAAGTTATCGTTGCTGCAGTTGTGTTGATAAATGGCAGGAAAGAACACGGGTATTTATCACAGCTGTAGACAGAGTGGACATCGGTTGCCTGAATGTCCAGATAAACAACGATGCCCAAATTGTGTTGAAGGAATTGTGAAGCTAATGGAGGTGGAGAAGAATACAAAAAACATAGGCCGATTATTCATGTCTTGTACTGAAGATTGTGGATATTTTGATTGGAAGCCGAAAGCCGTAGAAATGGAAGGTCAATCGAGTGGCAATTGCGGTGACAATCAAGCTATAGCGCCTGTTCAAGACTTATCGCATATGTTCAAAAGTTTGGCAAAATTGAAGATCGAGGAAGATGATGTTGAGATTTCATTCAACATAACTGTGCAAAAGGGAAAAGGGAAATCGGAAGATAAAGGGAAAGGGAAAGGAAAAGCGAATAGAATAGCTAGGTCGTTTATGGTTAAAAAACTTGTGTAATCCGATCATGTTATATTATGTTTCAATTATGTAATGTAAACTGAACTTGAATACAGCCAGTCTTTATTTGAGAATATTGATATGCTTTCTTCCTGTTTCCCAGCATCAACTGCATTGCATCATACTTGATCACAGTCAAACATATATACATAATTTCTACACATAACTTTGATTAAAATCAATATATATTGATGATTCAGATGATATTATCAACAAGATATCAATGTTAATCATTTGCACACACTTGACACGATCATCACGACGACGCTTCATTGTTGTAACTTACAAGATTTTATTTTTTCAACATTTTTTTATGTTTTAGAGATATTGACAATTAAGAAAAATAACTTATTTTTCCTTCTTTCCTTATAATGCTACTGACTTATAAATTATTTTTGTTTTGTTTGCCACATAATTTTCAGTTAGTATAAATTTTATATTTTGTTTATTTATTTGGTGTTGAATTTTCTTTGGTACACTAAATTTGTTAAACTAATCATGCAACTCACATAACTGATGATACAAAGGGGTTTCCAAACATATTAACTTAAGATTTACATTGGTCGTTAGGACAATTTATGAATGACCAAAACTGGACATAAATATTGCCAAAGTGAGATCAGCTTTGCAACCAAATGAGACCTGTGCAAATGAATAAAATTAAGATCACTTAAAATAAAGTATTGCACGATTGAAACAAAACAAAACGTTATCAATTTTCCAAATGTCATTTCATTTGACTTTATGATGGCATGAGTATGGAAATGATTCTGAATCTGTTGATAAAAGTTTCACCCAATTAATACCGTTACTCAGGCATATGAAAGAGAATTATCATCTTACCAGATAACGTGTTTACCAATTAATTTAGCATTTTACTAAGATACCACAAGCTTACAAGCATCATTGTCTTACCTATTGCTTTCATTCTGAGATTCCAAAATATTCCCGGCAAAGAACTTGATGAAGAGCTGCACATGAATCATAGACCAATACTTATGACTTGAAAAAAACTAAAATGATGGTAGTAAACACGTTGTTTGCCTTTTCCAGAATATATAAAATGATAAAGGTAGTTCAATAAAATAAATAGAGAAGATGATATTATCAATATCATTGCATATTGATAGATAGCATCAACAACTCCGTCTTCATCATTGTTAATAACCATGTAAATATACACCATCATAACCACCATAATACAAAAAAGTTGCAGGACTACTCTAAATACAACAAATACGTACAAAAGTCCCACACGGCTGCTTCAAGTACAAAAAATACAGACTTCCCAAGGATGGTATGAATACAAAAAATTCATCTACTTCCATCCCAAAATGCAAAAAATAATGTTTGCTGTTGTAACTACCAGATTGCCAAAAAAAAAAAAAAACAGCAATTTCCCACCATTTACAAACTTCATACTAGTTCAACGCTATCTTGTGTCCCAACAGTTTGCGGTGCCTGAGAAGATGATATGTTACAAACTTCCAAGTCTTCAACATCTACGGTCTTTGCGATGTTGACTTCTAACCTATTATAGGTTCTCGAAACTGTGGACTTTATAAAATGAGGAAATTCATAAGAAAATTATCAAAAGTGTCAAATGCATATTGAATAAAAAAAATGAAAGAAAACATCGACTATGATTAGCAAATGCAGGCACCTTTTTACAACCCTTCGATTTCTTTGAACTCCCTTCCAAGAAACTTTTTTTGCGAAGTTTTTTCGGCGCACCTTTACTTTTTGTACAGTTTGGGTCCAAAATGTTTGGACCGTTCACATTGCTTAGTTCATTCCCATGTACCCCGATGATATTACATTTCGACTTAGCCAATTCGCTTGTTTGGAATTCAATCCACCCCAACAAATGTTTGGACTGTTCTTCATTTTTCGCAACCATGTCTGCCATCTTGGTAAAAGCCACACACAATTGCTCATATCTCAACTGATCTGCAGTACTAACCAAACCATCATACATGGTCGTGACCCATACGTATGGTCTACAAACATCCCGCCTCCATCTCCTCAAAACATACCTCTCAGGGAGCGTGGAGACATCATTCCGAATTAAAACTGAGATTGCATGCTTGCAAATAATACCGCGAAACTCAAACAAATGACAACAGTTATCCCCACGATAACAAACTGTAAAAGTTTTTTTCTTCTTTCCTTCTTCAACAATGATATCCTCATGGACCTCGTACTTTGTCACTCCGTTAAATTCTTCCGCGGATAGTACATCACAATAAACCTTTCCTGTAACTTCTTGTTGAAACTCCCTAAATTTTGTTATTATGTACACTCCTTGGAATTGTTTCTCCATATCGTACTTCATAGCACACGGAACCATTTGTGAGAACGATCTAAAATCGGCTACAAATTCCTTCTCAACTTTGCTCTTCAACGCCCGCTCGTATTGCTCCACAAACAGCTTTAACGACGTTTTTGAATGTACATAACGTCGAAAAAAGCATTCATGCTCTCACTCCGTTGGGTGGTCGACAGGCCTGCCCAGAATGTGCTTCTCAAATGGCATGGCACCCAACAACTTCTTTCTTTGTAGATGCCTGTCGACCAAACATAATCTTGCAATTCGAAATGTTCAACCATGTTCATCCAACCCTCCTTAAAATCCTTACAACTTAGTGTATCATACACTAACTCATGTATAGCATGAAGTATTGACCCTTTTTCACCATGGTAGCTGAACTTCTCAGGCAATTTCTTCAGAATATGCCACAAGCACCATCTATGCCTAGTATTAGGGAAAACTATTTCAATGGCATTTTGCATAGCTCGATCTTGATCTGTAATAATCCCACCGGGAGCTTTACCATACATAAATTCAAGCCATGTTCTAAATAGTCAAACAAATGTATTTGTATCTTCGTTTGAGACCAAAGCACATCTGAATAGAGTTGACTGCCCATGGTGGTTCACCCCTACGAAAGGAGCAAACGGCATATTGTACTTGTTCGTAAGGTAAGTCGTATCAAAAGTAACGGCATCTCCAAATTCCTTATAAGCTTCTCTACATCGATTATCTGCCCAAAACACATTTCTCAACCGACACTCTTCATCCAAGTCCATACTGAAATAAAAACCTGGACTACATGCTTGCATTTTCGAGAAGTACGCCTGTATTGCAGCAGCGTCCCCTTCCCCAAGTCTTAAGCGGCGCACTTTCTCAATGAAATTCCTACAATCTCTCTCAACACATGTCATATGCTCAAACCCACCTACCTCTACAATAGCTGAGCTGTAGCTTTTATGCACAGGTATTCCTGCTGTATCATTCACCTCAAGGCGTCTTTTAATGCGTTTACTGACTGTTCAATTGCATCTATACAATCTAGACTTAGTTGGGCTTGTTTTATGGTTATGCTCTAAATGAACCACATTTATACGCCATATTCCAGACATATCAAAACACGCAGTCAACCTAGCTTTGCACCCTGTTTGAATTGTAGGTGGCGGCTTCAGAGAAGTACTGTTCTTACGATTTCGTCGACCTTCCCGACTACAAGTATATCGAACGATCCCGTCATCTCCCTTTGTTGAATTTTTTTTTTCTAATAGGAAAACCTATTCGATAAGCGTATCTCTTGTAGAATTCAAATACCTCATTTTCATCAGCGAATTTCATACCAACTTCAGGTATGATAATCTCATTCTGTGTTGCTAACATTTTTCCAGCCAAATCATCGTCACCCGCAAGTTGAGATGAGCTAACCTCCATTCCTGCAAAAATTAACATTCAGGGAATGACAAAACATGAATACTTAACATATTACAAAATTAAAATCAGCAAGCGGCAACAGTACGTGGACATAGAACATCAGAATGAATGCGATCACAAAATTCTGTACGGGTTAGCTTTCTAGTTTTCTGAAATGATCGTCTTTCCTCTGCCTTATCTTATACAACGACATATCATTTTATTTTCTCAGAGGATATGTAGCTGAATGGATAAAAACCAACAAAACATGGTAGTTGAAACTAATATAATGCCCCAGTTATGTAAACAAGGACCCTAAACCGGAATTACAAATTTCGCATTTGTTACTGTGACATAGCATTTCTACCATATATGCATATGCATTTTCTGCTACTTCTCTTCAGTTCAGTCCCTCGACATCTCATTTTTTCAAAGAATATGCACTTCAATGGAAAATAGGCACTTACCTACGTTTTCGTCGCCACGATACTCTCCGACCGGATTGATGGACAAGATTTGGGAATCTCCTTCTATGTGGATCGATTTCTCTGTATTATAGGAAGAAGATGAAGTTCAATGTCTATATATTCTTCCCTATCTAATGTGAAGTTCCAGATGTGAAGGCCAAAAAAAAAAAATTGGGGGTTTTTTTTTCCTCATTTCGTGAGATTTTGAATGAAAATATCGTCGATATATCGTGGCTATGGACACCCTTATGTGAACTGTAGTGTTCTTGTAGCACTGTCCATTTCAAAATACATTCTTAAAAAAGAATGTGGCTCAAACACACCCCTAATTTTTACCTTTTTCAGACTTATATCTCCAACCTTTATTTAGGAAAAATTGGAGACATGGTATCAAGTCTTTTGTTTATTAGTAGACTTGATCCAAATCTTTCATTTATACCATCACATGTACCAAACCTTTAAAAAAACTCACCTGGAGTCCAAATGGATGAAAACATCAATTTGACCGTTAGTTGACAAGAATAATTAACTTTGACCAAATATAAAAAGGGCAAAATGATAACTTTACATTTTTAACATTAGATAGTTTTAAAAAATTTAGAAAAAAATGAAAAATGAAAAAAAGAACGGCTACTATTGTTCACTTCCTCCTTCACCTCACCCTAACCTTCACCCTCATCATCATGCCCTTGAAAATCAATCACCATCACAAAATAGATAACCACCGACCACAAAAATACATACACCTACACAGAAATAAACACCCGAGTTATTGCTACTCAATGTCACAACTAATTCTTACCATTCTTCCCTGTACAATTCTCAAGATTTTCTTCCTCGCAAACAAAAATATTAACAATATAGACAGAAATAAACAACATAATTCTTCTCCATACACAGGAATAAACACACAAGATATCGTTCTTCCGTGTCCAATTCCCAAAATTTTTTTATGGAATATGTGGAGAATGAGATTGAGTTTTCAATTTGTATTGAAATTGCAAATCCGATCGAGACGTGGCAGCTTGGGGTCGGGTTTGAAAATGAGGAGAAGAAACTCATGGTGTTGATGGCCATGCAATAATGGTGTTGGTGGCTGATTTTCATGGTGGGGTGAGAAAGGGAGAAGGGTAGTGTTTTGAAAGAGGAGGTGAACAGTTGTAGCACTTTTTCTTTTTTCTTTTTTTTTTTCTTTTTTTTGTGTTGAATTTTTTAAATTATCTAATTTTAAAATTGTAAAGTTTAACATTTTGTCCTTTTTATATTTGGTCAAAATTAATTATTCTAATCAACTAATGGTCAAATTGATGGTTCCATTTAAACTTCATGTGAGATTTTTTTAAAAGTTTGGTACCCCAGTGACACAAATGAAAGATTTAGACCAAACCTGCTAATAAACAAAAAATTTGATACCGTGAGTGCAATTTTTCCTCTTTATTTATTCACATTACTATCTTTATGCATATTTGACTCTTGCGATCCTTATGGATTATCAAAATTCAAAAATTTGTCATGTGTGTCTAGGGATGGTAATGAATCAATTAAGCTCGACTCATCTTGATCATGTGACTTGTATTGATTACAAGCCAAGCCGAGCCAAGAGCCTATGAGTTGGCTCTTATTTTTTGTTTTTTAATTAATATAAATAAAAAAGATGAGTGAAAAAAGAGTGGATCCAAGACAAGCTGGTTAATGGGTCGATTAGTGAAAAAATCGAGCTGGGCTCGATTGTTTTAATACAAAAAACAAAAAGTATGAATACACAACATTGGACACCTTTTGTTAACAACTGTGAACTTCTTGTGTTTGAGATTTGATATTGGCATCTTATTTTCATCTTTCAAATTACTGTTTGGAGTGAACGCACGTGGCTTTGGCTAAGGAATTGGAACCAATTACGGCCGATCTGATTGATGAAAGTAGTAAAGGTTGTTGAGAATTTACTTAATCATGCACATCGAAAAATAAAATAAATTTCAATTTTCAATAAGGATTTGCTTTGTACTTAGATAAAAACTATGATAGAAATTGTACATTTCTTTGATTCTGTAAACTCCTTTGATATTCTTTTCTTTTCAACAATCTTGATTTGTCATCCACAGCTATCCAATTGTCCAACCTCTAATGAAAATCTACACAGAGAACAAGTATGGGAGACATCCAGGGTTTTCTTTTCTTGTGCTAGTAAGAATGAAAATTTTCTACAAATTCTAAACCCTACCTGCTTATTTATATAAACCTAAATAGGTTTCACTCGTCTCCTAACCTTGTCCAATATTTAATTAACCTAATTAAATTCGGTCCACGAATTAATTAATTCGAGCCCATAAATAAATAATTCAATTAATTAATTTTTTCAACGCTTGTTAAATTAATTAATTGGTAAATCTAATATTCTAGTTCTCCTTTTGTGTATGACTCATTAGGTTCTCAATTATGATGTCTAATGATATGAATTATTATTTTGATTTAATCAGAACTGACAAATTAAAACATTCCTTTTAGTTTATCACTAATTCACATTCGTCGTTCTAAATTGACATCTAGCAATGTGTCAGGATGACAAAACTAAACTTGTTTGTTTACTATGAAATTATTATCCATGTGAAATCTCCCAACGGGTTTTCAATATTTTGTTTTATAACAAAATATCCACGTGAATATTAATTTATGATTCAATCATATAGAATTTGCATTTCACAATCACAACTCTCTGTGATTAACAAATTACTAGGATCTAAATCTACGGACTCTATTATTTTATTTAATTGAATATTAATTAAATAATAGATCTGCCATAAAATTGCATCAATTATATATTAAAAGCATTTATGTCCAATGTTGATTGAATGTAGGGCATAACACTTACCAAGGTAATTGCCAAGAAAAGTTGAGAGGAGCATTCACCGAGTGCTTTCTCAAAATTGACGACGAAATTGGAGGGAAAGCAAATATTGAACCGATCGCTCCGAAAACTGTTGGCTCGATCGCTGTTGTTGCTATAGTTTGTTTATCACACATTATAATAGTTAATTGTAGTAATTCAAAGGCAGTCTTATGCTATGGGAAAGAGCCCATGGCATTATCATAAAGTAAGCATGCAAAGAGCACATTTACCTATTTAAGCTACTTATTTTGCCAAACATGATTTTCATAGTACTTCTTTACTGACAAACATACTATTTTAGAAAGTAAGTCAGAAGTAATCTTTAAACTTAGCCAAACATGCTATAATTCTTATTCTATAATAATTATGAGCTAATTTCCTTTTCTTTCCTATGTTAGCCTATAGGGAAGATGAATATGTAAGAATAGAAGTAGTCAGAGGAAAAGAGATACAGTGGAATGGGCATCATGTTTTTGGTGTCCTTGCAATGTTTAGATTTATTGGTACAAATTTCACTGCCTTTCTCTTTTCCGTCATTCCCATTCTATCATTTTCAAATTAGATTGTATCAAAACTCGCCTGCTCCCATACAGTACTTGACATCTTTTAGGAATATTTCTTCAATTTCTTGTCATTACAAAATCCATTTTGAAGTGAATAACTGTGAATCAATATATATTTTTCGAAATATTTTGTGGTTCTACCATAGCCTACCCCATTGCATAGTAGCACAATTATTCATGAAATGGGTGCTTTGAAATGAGATGCC